TCAATCTTAGTTTCATCAACAGAAACCACGGACCTTCTTCGCAAAACTAAAATTCAACTCAATCCTACACTTGTTTTTCTGTTACAATGTTTATTGATTATTACCTGCGAAAAACATTTCAATAAGTCATCGAGATACATTTCAATTAGCCACACCTTACACCTGTTGTATTCTGAATTGATCGTCTATGCAATCGTATTTCTATGGATCTATAATACACAGTCTGTTACTCAGATTTATTTCGCTAATTGACTCTCTACATAGGTAAACAGGGACATTTATTTTACATGCAGCAACCGAGCACGAAATTGTGTTTATGGCCTGAAGAACGCAGGTGAATGGCCGCTCATTAACTCAAGACTCACATCGCATTGTTCTGTTTTTCTCTCTATATTCATTTGATCTATTTGTCAAATTCAACTGAAACCCGGTCCCGTGTTACACGGGTAATCAATCCGCGTGCAACTCGTTGAGCACCAGTGTCTCAGCGCGTGTAAGGGGAATGGACTTCTGGGCAGTAGTGTATTTGTCAACAGGTAACACAACCGTACTGTTTACCACTCGTGACACCGAAAGGGTGTTTTGCATCAGTGAACTTCTCCACGGAAAGACGGAGAGCCCAAGAGAACAGATGGGAAGGGAAGAGGCGGAAACACGCAGATTAATTACCAGTTACTTGTGATCTAACAGGTTATGTCTTTGAGAGGCCGTAAAAGGCGACTATGCTTGTGTGAGAGGCGAGGTGGTTAGGCTCGTTGACGTGGCTGATGCATGTCATCAATCCCTATCGCATGGATCGATGCTCATGATGTCAATCATTTGATTGTTAAGTCCAGACTCGGTTATTTACAGCCCACTGTCATATTCCTGGATTATTGCTGAGTGCAGCAACAAACACACACATACATGCTGACACTGGAGCTTATGTTGTTTATAGCTCCCCCTCGTTACATGTTGACACTGGAGCTTATGTTGTTTATAGCTCCACCTCGTCACATGCTGACACTGGAGCTTATGTTGTTTATAGCTCCACCTCGTCACATGCTGACACAGGAGCTTATGTTGTTTATAGCTCCACCTCGTTTACATGCTGACACAGGAGCTTATGTTGTTTATAGCTCCACCTCGTTTACATGCTGACACTGGAGCTTATGTTGTTTATAGCTCCACCTCGTTTACATGCTGACACTGGAGCTTATGTTGTTTATAGCTCCCCCTCGTTACATGCTGACACTGGAGCTTATGTTGTTTATAGCTCCCCCTCGTTACATGCTGACACTGGAGCTTATGTTGTTTATAGCTCCACCTCGTTACATGCTGACACTGGAGCTTATGTTGTTTATAGCTCCCCCTCGTTACATGTTGACACTGGAGCTTATGTTGTTTATAGCTCCACCTCGTCACATGCTGACACTGGAGCTTATGTTGTTTATAGCTCCCCCTCGTTACATGTTGACACTGGAGCTTATGTTGTTTATAGCTCCACCTCGTTACATGCTGACACTGGAGCTTATGTTGTTTATAGCTCCACCTCGTTACATGCTGACACTGGAGCTTATGTTGTTTATAGCTCCACCTCGTCACATGCTGACACTGGAGCTTATGTTGTTTATAGCTCCACCTCGTCACATGCTGACACTGGAGCTTGTGTTGTTTATAGCTCCACCTCGTCACATGCTGACACTGGAGCTTATGTTGTTTATAGCTCCACCTCGTTTACATGCTGACACTGGAGCTTATGTTGTTTATAGCTCCACCTCGTCACATGCTGACACTGGAGCTTATGTTGTTTATAGCTCCACCTCGTTTACATGCTGACACTGGAGCTTATGTTGTTTATTTCTCCACCTCGTTTACATGCTGACACTGGAGCTTATGTTGTTTATAGCTCCACCTCGTTACATGCTGACACTGGAGCTTATGTTGTTTATAGCTCCACCTCGTCACATGCTGACACTGGAGCTTATGTTGTTTATAGCTCCACCTCGTCACATGCTGACACTGGAGCTTGTGTTGTTTATAGCTCCACCTCGTCACATGCTGACACTGGAGCTTATGTTGTTTATAGCTCCACCTCGTTTACATGCTGACACTGGAGCTTATGTTGTTTATAGCTCCACCTCGTCACATGCTGACACTGGAGCTTATGTTGTTTATAGCTCCACCTCGTTTACATGCTGACACTGGAGCTTATGTTGTTTATTTCTCCACCTCGTCACATGCTGACACTGGAGCTTATGTTGTTTCTTTCTCAACCTCGTTACATGCTGACACTGTAGCTTATGTTGTTTATTTGTCCACCTCGTTACATGCTGACACTGGAGCTTATGTTGTTTATTTCTCCACCTCGTCACATGCTGACACTGGAGCTTATGTTGTTTATAGCCCCACCTCGTTACATGCTGACACTGGAGCTTATGTTGTTTATTTCTCAACCTCGTTACATGCTGACACTGGAGCTTATGTTTTTTTATATCTCACCCTCGTCACATGCTGACACGTGAGCTTATGTTGTTTATTTCTCCACCTCGTTACATGCTGACACTGGAGCTTATGTTTGTTTATTTCTCCACCTCGTCACATGCTGACACTGGAGCTTATGTTGTTTATTTCTAAACCTCGTTACATGCTGAGACTGGAGCTTATGTTTGTTTATTTCTTCACCTCGGTACATTATGACACTGGAGCTTATGTTGTTTATTTCTCAACCTCGCCACATGCTGTCACTGGAGCTTATGTTGTTTATAGCTCCACCTCGTCACATGCTGACACAGGAGCTTATGTTGTTTATAGCTCCACCTCGTTTACATGCTGACACTGGAGCTTATGCTGTTTATAGCTCCACCTCGTCACATGCTGACACTGGAGCTTATGTTGTTTATAGCTCCACCTCGTTACATGTTGACACAGGAGCTTATGCTGTTTATAGCTCCACCTCGTCACATGCTGACACAGGAGCTTATGTTGTTTATAGCTCCACCTCGTCACATGCTGACACAGGAGCTTATGTTGTTTATAGCTCCACCTCGTTTACATGCTGACACAGGAGCTTATGTTGTTTATAGCTCCACCTCGTCACATGCTGACACTGGAGCTTATGTTCTTTATAGCTCCACCTCGTCACATGCTGACACAGGAGCTTATGTTGTTTATAGCTCCACCTCGTCACATGCTGACACAGGAGCTTATGTTGTTTATAGCTCCACCTCGTTTACATGCTGACACTGGAGCTTATGTTGTTTATAGCTCCACCTCGTTTACATGTTGACACTGGAGCTTATGTTGTTTATAGCTCCACCTCGTTACATGCTGACACTGGAGCTTATGTTGTTTATAGCTCCCCCTCGTTACATGTTGACACTGGAGCTTATGTTGTTTATAGCTCCACCTCGTTACATGCTGACACTGGAGCTTATGTTGTTTATAGCTCCCCCTCGTTACATGTTGACACTGGAGCTTATGTTGTTTATAGCTCCACCTCGTCACATGCTGACACTGGAGCTTATGTTGTTTATAGCTCCCCCTCGTTACATGTTGACACTGGAGCTTATGTTGTTTATAGCTCCACCTCGTTACATGCTGACACTGGAGCTTATGTTGTTTATAGCTCCACCTCGTTACATGCTGACACGTGAGCTTATGTTGTTTATAGCTCCACCTCGTCACATGCTGACACTGGAGCTTATGTTGTTTATAGCTCCACCTCGTCACATGCTGACACTGGAGCTTATGTTGTTTATAGCTCCACCTCGTCACATGCTGACACTGGAGCTTATGTTGTTTATAGCTCCACCTCGTTTACATGCTGACACAGGAGCTTATGTTGTTTATAGCTCCACCTCGTCACATGCTGACACTGGAGCTTATGTTGTTTATAGCTCCACCTCGTTTACATGCTGACACTGGAGCTTATGTTGTTTATAGCTCCACCTCGTTTACATGCTGACACTGGAGCTTATGTTGTTTATTTCTCCACCTCGTCACATGCTGACACTTGAGCTTATGTTGTTTATTTCTCCACCTCGTCACATGCTGACACTGGAGCTAATGTTGTTTATTTGTCCACCTTGTCACATGCTGACACTGGAGCTTATGTTGTTTATTTCTCCACCTCGTCACATGCTGACACTGGAGCTTATGTTGTTTCTTTCTCAACCTCGTTACATGCTGACACTGTAGCTTATGTTGTTTATTTGTCCACCTCGTTACATGCTGACACTGGAGCTTATGTTGTTTATTTCTCCACCTCGTCACATGCTGACACTGGAGCTTATGTTGTTTATAGCCCCACCTCGTCACATGCTGACACTGGAGCTTATGTTTTTTATATCTCACCCTCGTCACATGCTGACACTGGAGCTTATGTTTGTTTATTTCTCCACCTCGTCACATGCTGACACTGGAGCTTATGTTGTTTATTTCTAAACCTCGTTACATGCTGAGACTGGAGCTTATGTTTGTTTATTTCTTCACCTCGGTACATTATGACACTGGAGCTTATGTTGTTTATTTCTCAACCTCGTCACATGCTGTCACTGGAGCTTATGTTGTTTATTTCTCCACCTCGTCACATGCTGAGACTGGAGCTTATGTTGTTTATTTCCCCACCTCGTTACATGCTGACACGTGAGCTTATGTTGTTTATAGCTCCACCTCGTCACATGCTGACATATGAGCTTATGTTGTTTATAGCTCCACATCGTCACATGCTGACACTGGAGCTTATGTTTGTTTATTTGTCCACCTCGTTACATTATGACACTGTAGCTTATGTTGTTTATTTGTCCACCTCGTCACATGCTGTCACTGGAGCTTATGTTCTTTATTTCTCCACCTAGTCACATGCTGTCACTGGAGCTTATGTTGTTTATTTCTCCACCTCGTCACATGCTGACACATGAGGTTATGTTGTTTATTACTCCACCTCGTCACATGCTGACACTGGAGCTTATGTTGTTTATTTCTCAACCTCGTCACATGCTGACACTGTAACTTTTGTTGTTTATTTCTCCACCTCGTCACATGCTGACACTGGACCTTATGTTGTTTATAGCTCCACCTCGTCACATGCTGACACTGGAGCTTATGTTGTTTATTTCTCCACCTCGTCACATGCTGACACGTGACCTTATGTTGTTTATTTCTCAACCTCGTCACATGCTGAAACTGGAGCTTATGTAGTTTATTTCTTCACCTCGTTACATGTTGACACTGGAGCTTATGTTGTCACATGTTGACACTGGAGCTTATGTTGTTTATTTCTCCACCTCGTCACATGCTGACACTGTAACTTATGTTGTCACATGTTGACACTGGAGCTTATGTTGTTTATTTCTTCACCTCGTTACATGTTGACACTGGAGCTTATGTTGTCACATGTTGACACTGGAGCTTTTGTTGTCACATGTTGACACTGGAGCTTATGTTGTCACATGTTGACACTGGACCTTATGTTGTTTATTTCTCAACCTCGTCACATGCTGACACTGTAACTTTTGTTGTTTATTTCTCCACCTCGTCACATGCTGACACTGGACCTTATGTTGTTTATAGCTCCACCTCGTTACATGCTGACACTGGAGCTTATGTTGTTTATTTGTCCACCTCGTCACATGCTGACACGTGACCTTATGTTGTTTATTTCTCAACCTCGTCACATGCTGAAACTGGAGCTTATGTAGTTTATTTCTTCACCTCGTTACATGTTGACACTGGAGCTTATGTTGTCACATGTTGACACTGGAGCTTTTGTTGTCACATGTTGACACTGGAGCTTATGTTGTCACATGTTGACACTGGACCTTATATTGTTTATTTCTTCACCTCGTTACATGTTGACACTGGAGCTTATGTTGTCACATGTTGACACTGGACCTTATGTTGTTTATTTCTCCACCTCGTCACATGCTGAAACTGGAGCTTATGTAGTTTATTTCTTCACCTCGTTACATGTTGACACTGGAGCTTATGTTGTCACATGTTGACACTTGAGCTTATGTTGTTTATTTCTCCACCTCGTCACATGCTGACACTGTAACTTATGTTGTCACATGTTGACACTGGAGCTTATGTTGTTTATTTCTTCACCTCGTTACATGTTGACACTGGAGCTTATGTTGTCACATGTTGACACTGGAGCTTATGTTGTCACATGTTGACACTGGACCTTATGTTGTTTATTTCTTCACCTCGTTACATGTTGACACTGGAGCTTATGTTGTCACATGTTGACACTGGACCTTATGTTGTTTATTTCTTCACCTCGTTACATGTTGACACTGGAGCTTATGTTGTCACATGTTGACACTGGAGCTTTTGTTGTCACATGTTGACACTGGAGCTTATGTTGTTTATAGCTCCACCTCGTCACATGCTAACACTGTAACTTATGTTGTCACATGTTGACACTGGAGCTTATGTTGTTTATTTCTTCACATCGTTACATGTTGACACTGGAGCTTATGTTGTTTATTTGTGCAGCATGTGCAGAACTACGTCTGTACCTCAGTCCAATGATGTCGCTTGCTGAAAACATAATATGATCCTAAATGACTGTTAACGTTAAGTAGAGATGCACTAACTCGCCTATGTATCATCTATGTTTAGATTTGAAATCATCTGCCTACCTTTTGTGCTACGCGATTATGTGATGTTCTCATAAATCACACACTCGTGATATTTGCTGTACAGGTCGGGCAAACACACGCAACGCGATACGGGCAATACCTTTAAAGACTTACACAACAAATTCAAGTCTCGTCGACAGACAGTGTCTGTCGTCGTTAATCTTGCCGTGAATAAACACCCGGATAGAATTACCGCTCTTATCTGAAGCAGGATGTGTCGCAAGGTTAAACTGAATGACACAGCAATCTGGAGTTCATTTATACTTCTAAGGGAGGCACGAACATCCTGTTAGTGACTACGACTACCACCACCTCCGCCACTACAAATACTACTGATACTGCCACACCACCACCGCCTCTACTACTTCTACTACTACCACCAACACCGCCGCCACCACCACCACTACTTCTACTACAACTACCACCGACACCACTACTACTATCACCACCACCACCACCACCACCACTACTACCACGACTGCTACTACTACCACTACCACCACTACTACTAATACTACAACTACTACTACTACTGCTACCACTACCACTGCTACAACAAAACAACAACCACCACTATTACTACTACTACTACAACTGCCACACCACCACCGCCACCCGCCACCACCACTACTAATACTACAACTACTACTCCTCCTCCTACTACTACTACAACTGCCACACCACTACCGCCACCCGCCACCATCACTACTCGTTCTACCACCACCACCACCACCACCACTACTACTAATACTACAACTACTACTCCTCCTCCTACTACTACTACAACTGCCACACCACTACCGCCACCCGCCACCATCACTACTCGTTCTACCACCACGACCACCACCACTACTACTATTTTCACTACCATAC